TTGCAGTGTGATGTTTTATCCTCTCCGTTGTATATTTCAGGAACAGGGCACGAAGAGGATGATTGGACATGCTAGGGAGAGGGATGGTCTATACTACCTTGAAGAATCTTGTGTCACCATTATCATTTCTTTCCGAGTCATTCAAATCCAATAAAGATAAGATATGGCTTCAACACCTTCGTCTTGGTCACCCATCATTTAGTGTTCTCAAAATAATGTTTCCTTCATTGTTCAAAAGTTTATCCATTGAAAATTTTCATTGCGACGTATGTGAACTTGCAAAGCACAAACGTACTTCTTTTCAAATCAGCAATAAAAGAACTTCTATTCCATTTACCTTGATTCACAGTGACATTTGGGGACCTTCCACTGTTACTAATGTTTCTGGGGCAAGGTGGTTTGTCTCATTTATTGATGATTGCACTCGTGTGTCTTGGATTTTTTTGTTAAAAAATAAATCGGATGTGAGTTCTGTGTTTCCAATTTTTTTCAATATGGTCAAAACTCAGTTTGGTGTGGTGATAAAGAGATTCCGATTTGACAATGCTAAGGACTACTTTAATCAAATTCTCTCTCCGTATTTCCAAAAACAGGGCATAATACATGAATCCTCTTGTGTTAGCACACCTCAACAAAATGGGGTGGCCGAACGAAAGAACGGCCACCTTCTTGATATTACAAGAGCTTTCTTGTTCCAAAAAAATGTTCCAAAACAATACTGGGGGGAGGCTGTTTTAACCGCTGCTCATCTCATCAATCGGCTTCCTACAAGAGTCCTTGGTTTTAAAAGTCCAATGCAGGTCCTTACACAGTTCTTTCCCAATTTTAACGCATCTAATAATCTTGTTCCAAAGATATTTGGTTGTGTTGCCTTTATTCATGTGCATTCTCAAAACAGGGGAAAACTTGATCCTCGAGCTCTCAAATGTGTCTTTCTTGGCTATTCCTCCACTCAAAAGGGCTACAAATGCTATCATCCTCCGACAAGGAGATTTTATGTGTCTGCTGATGTTACTTTTGTCGAACAAGATCAGTACTTTAACAGTCCTTATCTTCAGGGGGAGACATCCTTCATAGAAGATAAGAATAAGGATTTTTTTCTCCTTGAGTTTCCAGCCCCTATCTCTCATCAATCCGAGTCAAACATACTCCCAAACATACAGTCCGAGCCAAACACACGGTTAGAAGCCGAGCCTCATACACCCAAATCACAAGGAGTGTTACATGGGAATCAAACTCGAGACTCTACTCGTCCATTGCAGATTTACTCAAGGAAAAGAGCACCAATCTCTCAACCTGTGCAAGTTCAATCACCCAAATCTGTTCCTGATAATGTCGAGGTAATTACTCAACCCAATGATAACACTAATGAAACCTCTGAACAAAATGATTATGATGTCCCTATTGCAAATAGAAAAGGAACTCGAACTTGTACCAAACACCCTCTTTATCTATTCATGTCATACAAGAATCTTTCTCATAACCATAGGGCCTTTCTTACTAGCTTAAATACAGTCCCTATTCCCAAAACTTTATCCGATGCATTAGGAAATGAGAATTGGGAAAATGCTATGAAGGTTGAAATGGAAGCACTTGAGAAAAACAAGGCTTGGGACTTGGTGAGACTGCCTAGAGGGAAGAAGCCGGTTGGGTGTAAATGGGTGTTCACAACCAAATACAACTCAGATGGCTCTTTGGAAAGGTATAAGGCAAGATTAGTTGCCAAAGGGTATACACAAACCTACGGCATAGGTTATCTTGAGACTTTTGCTCCAGTTGCTAAGATGAATACTGTGAGAATTCTATTATCATTGGCTGCAAATTTTGGCTAGAGATTACAGCAATTTGATGTCAAGAACGCCTTCTTACATGGCGATCTTGAGGAGGAGATCTATATGGAGATTCCGCCTGGGTTTGGCTCAAATGAAAAGGAAGGAATGGTATGCAAGCTTAAAAAAGCTTTGTATGGACTGAAACAATCCCCAAGAGCTTGGTTTGGGAGATTTACCAAAGTGATGGTGAGTATGAGATATAAGCAAAGTCAAGGTGATCATACATTGTTTTTAAAACACTCAGCATCAGGGGGAGTGACAGTATTGTTGGTCTATGTGGATGACATCATGGTAACAGGAGATGACTTGGAAGGAATGGAGAGTTTGAAGAAACAGTTAGTGAAGGAATTCGAGATCAAAGAGCTAGGAAAACTGAAGTACTTTCTTGGTATTGAAGTAGCCCACTCTCGGCAAGGGATTTTTATATCACAACAAAAATATGTGTTAGACTTGTTGGCTGATACAGGCAAGCTGGGATGTAAGCCAGTTGAGACACCTATGGAGTCAAACCACAAACTTTGTGATGCTCCAAAAGACATGGCCATGGATAAAGGCTCTTTTCAGAGACTTGTGGGGAAGTTAATTTATTTGTCACATACCAGGCCGAATATAGCTTATGCTATGTGAGTGTTGTGAGTCAATTCATGCACAATCCCAAAGAATCACATCTCAAAGCTGTGTATAGAATTCTGCAGTACTTGAAGAGTACGCCAGGAAGAGGAATTCTGTTTAAGAAAGGGGAAGGACTTACTCTTGAAGCCTACACAAATGCAGATTATGCAGGATCCGTGATTGACAGAAGATCAACCTCGGGCTATTGCACCTTCCTAGGTGGTAATCTCGTTACTTGGAAAAGGAAAAAACAGAATGTGGTTGCAAGGTCCAGCGCAGAAGCTGAATTTAGAGCGATGGCACTCGGGATATGTGCACTGCTATGGCTAAGGATAATCCTGGAAGATTTGAGAGTCAGATGGGAAGGTCCAATGAAGCTTTACTGTGATAATAAATCAGCCATCAATATTGCACACAATCCTGTGCAACATGACTGCACAAAACACATTGAAGTGGATAGGCATTTTATTAAAGAGAAGTTGGATAGTGGCCTCATTTGTACTCCTTTTGTTCCTACTGGAGAACAGCTAGCTACGTGCTTACCAAAGGATTGCCTGGTACCGTTTTTCAGAGAATAACCAGCAAGCTTGGAATGGATGACATCCATTTACTAGCTTAAGGGGGAGTGTGGGAAAATAAGATTTATTAGTTGTGTACAGGTTGTTAATAGCTAGGGATTTATTGGTTGTGTATAGGCTACTGTTAATAGCTAGAGATTTACAGGCTACAGGCTGTTAATAGCTAGAGATTTATTAGTTATTGCAATCCCTGATTTCTGGGGATCAGTTTTTATTAGCTTCCTAGAATAGCATTATTCTGATGTATATATAAGAGTGCATTCCCAATTCTTTAATCAATTAATTCGATTACTAATTTCAGTAATTTTGTCATTTAGCATAAGGACAGAAACATACAAGTTAGCCTATTTTTGGACAATGACACCCCCTCAGGTTTGATAAAGTTAACACACCCCTGATAATGGTGAATTAACTTTATTACCCTCAACTAATACAATCTTTTTTTATTGAGTTAAATACCCTTGGATCTCTTCTTCTCTTTCCCCTCTCAACCCCTAACCCAAACAAGCCCCACCATTGCTCTGCCACCGTCGACCACCGTCCCAAACGAATTAAGTCCCGATCACAAGGCCACTGTGCCTTCGCTACTCTGCCACCGCCAACCACCGCCAAACCACCGTCCCAATCACATCACTGTTCTCTGTTGTTCACAAAGCCACCACTGCGCTGGCAACCTCGACCACCGTCCTGAATGAACAAGTCCCGATCACAAAGCCACCGTCCCGATCACAAAGCCACAACAACCACCCGAAATTCAACTTTACTGGGTTTTCTTGGAAGAGGAAGGTGTTTCGACGACGTGAAGGGAGCTCCGAGCGTGCCCAGCAGCAGGGCGCGTGTACGCGCGTTAGATTTATTATCAGAGACAAATCTTAGTGCGTGAGAGCGTCATATAGAATAGGTTTAAGGCTGGTGAAGTCTTCGGCGACGGCAACTGCGACGAAGGGTGATTGGTATCACTGGCAGTGAGTTTGTTCCGGTCTAGAACCTGATCTGAGCAAGCTTCACGCATATTCATATTTCCCGCGAACAACACAAATTCTTCCATAGTTCTGGCGAGTTGCAACGTTCCAAACTAGAGAATTTCAGTTCAAAACTGGAACGTCATCAAAAGACCTAATCCGGTGAGTTACAGTATAGTCCCAACCCCTAAATTGAAAATTGAATTTCGATTTCTTGAATTTCAACATCTTGGCTAATTTCAGAAGAGACCGAGATGAGGTGGAGCAAAATCCGTTGAAGAATGAAGGAACCATATATATATATATATATATATATATATATATATATATATCACATGATATATCAGTATTTTGTCACCCATGGTCGTTGCCGACCATTGGCTTCACATCTTAGTTCAATCAATACTAACTTCTTTCTCTTTCTAACTCTCTCTCTCTATACTAACTTCCTCTCTCTAAAGTTACCCAAAAACTCTATTATATACATAGAATATGAGATATATATATATATATATGCCATGAACCACCACAACCATTGTCGCCGCTGCCGACGTCCGCCACCCACCAGCTTCAAATAAGTGGAAATAATAGGGTGTATATTATTGTATATATATACACTAAGGGCAAAAATGACTTTTCATAAATTCTGATAATTTACAATAAAAATGAATTAAATAGTGACGGGCAGTCTTGTCTTTTCCAACGTATTAAGGGCTTGTTTGGATCAAACATTCTGATAAAGGGTGTCAGTGTCCAAAAATTGGTCAACTTGTATATGTTTGTCCTTATGCCAAACCTCAGAGGTGTCCGTGTACTTTACACTATTTTCTATTAAGAGTTCCAATTGTAAAAGTGTGTGTGTGTGTGTGTGTATATATATATTACAATTTATATATTTAGTCTTCTTCCACATATATATTTTAGTTGAATTTGGTTGTGAATAAACAGGCTAGGTCAAGAGGGTTATCTGGCTATATTCTTTTTTATCAAGAGTTCCAATTGTAAACGTATGTATGTTGTGTGTGTGTGTGTGTGTGTGTGTGTGTGTATTACAATTTATATATTTCTTTAGATTTTACTGTCATACTTACTAACTAGTTCAGCCTCTCTAACTGAAAATTTATTGGCACGACCCAACTAATAGGGATCAGTCCTCAACATTCATAAACATGGGGCTTGGTCCTTAATAAGCACAGATGGTCCTCATCTTTCTGCGGGGCAGATCAATCCTCATTAAGTGGGGATCAATCATCAAATCATGGGACGCCTATGCATTGACCCTAACCTAGGTAAGGATTGGTCCTAGATGCATTTAGTCCAAAATTTTGAAAGCATTTTTAACCCCAAATTGCCAAAACCATCCATTTTTTAAGTTGATTGAATGTCCATGGGGACCTAGGCTCCAGATGGGTCATATAACATCCATTTAATGATCTGAAACCCTATAATCACTAGGGGTGCACACGGCAATTGCCCCCACTAATTTTTTTTTTTTTAGTAATATACCCCACTATTTTATTTATTTTGATATATATACCTATAAAATTACACTACCACCCCCACTAAAATTATTTAAAAATTACACTATTGCCCCCTCAACATAATTTCCTGGCTCCGTCCTTTGTAACGGTTCCATAAAAATTGAAACCGAACCGAACCATGAAACAAATAAAACCAAACCGAACCATGAGAAAACGGTTCAGTTCAGATCGGCTCTACGATTCTAGGCTTTTTTGTAATTCAATCCAATATATATATAATTAAAAATATAGATTATATATAATATAATAATCTATTATAATATAATATTTTTTTATATAGGGTTAAATGCAAAAAAAAACCCTGAACTATTGGGGAATCAGCAACTAACCCCCCTGAACTACTAAAGTTGCAACTAACCCCCTGAACTATATATTTTTGTTGCAGATGACTCCATCCGGCGAAGTTCCGGTCGGATCCTACCATAAAAGTGACCATGTGACAGTCACGTGACCAATATTATAATTTTAATGGCCATAATGCCCTTATGAGCATGAAAAGACACTAATGCCCCTCATTTTACCATTACACAAAAAAACCTTTTAATCAACCAAACACACCCTTATGACACTGTTTATTGTCAACACGCACAAATATATATGTATGTATATAGCTATGCATCTTCATTATCTTCTTCATAATAGGCAGGAATTTCTGATACAAAAATAAATAAATAAATAAAAATAATAAATAATAATAATAACACACCTTCATATCAATACACACGGTCCATCATCACACACAAATATATATATATATATATACATAATTATAAATCACTGTTTATCGTCTTCTTCACACCGCAATGCTTTCTGAAAAATATATATATGTATATTTCGTGTTCACTGCATACAAAGAAATTGCACAATCATGAAAACAAATCATACAAACTGATACAAAAGGAATTCTACTAAAAATTGCAGGGTCTTGTAGACGGAAAAGAAATATTGGCCTAAAATCCCCAAACCATTAGTTGAAAGTGCATAGGGAATAAATCAACGACAAACCAGCATCTTTGTCAGCAGCGTCGGCACCGTTTGTCATAGCAGAACACTCTACAGCAAACCCAATCGCAATTGAATAACCCAAGAATATGTTATCGTGGATAACAAAGCAAACCCAATCGCAATTGAAATTTATTAATTGCAAAAACCTAAAGCTTGGATCACCTTATGTGATTGCTCAGAAATTAATCTCGTTATAGCTACCGGCGACGTCGGCAATGTGCTCCCGGAGCATGGTCAACGTGAATCGGGCACCACAGAGTACGGCTCTCTCTTTCCTCTCTTTGCAGCATCATATATACATCCCTTCTCTATGTGTGTCGCATCCCCAACTCTATTCCTCTTTGTGTGTCGCATCCCTCCCTGTGTACTCATCTTTGTGTGTGTATATATATATATATGGGAGAGATTGATTACAGAGAGAAACGATCGTCCTTTCTTTTTTTTCTTTTTCTTTTTTTTGGGCTTTAAAGGTGTCCAGTTGTCATTGTCTCATTAGTGATTGAGATTGCATCTTCCACGTCATACAGATAAGTATGCAAGTGCCAAAACGACGTAGTTTTAGTAAGGGTACACTTGTATTTTACTTTTTCCGATTAATCCAGCTGCCAGATTGTCCTTAATTAACAAATTGATAGTTCACGGAGGTTTTTTGTAGTTCGAGGGGGTTTGTTGCAATAAGCCAATAGTTCAAGGGGGTTTTTTGCATTTAACCCTATTATATATTATAAAATATAGTTGAGTGGCTAAACGGCTGATCTTGTTATTCTTTTATTTATATCGTATAAAATATAAATATATATACAATTTATATAATAGTTTGGTTCAATTCGGTTTGGTCCAGTTGGACTTCAAACCAGAACCGAACCGTTTATAAACGGTTCCATGTTTTTAGAACTGGGGGACCGAACCAAACCGTAGAAAACCGAACCAAACCGATGGATCAAGTTTGGTCCAATTCAACCGGTTGTTTTTGCACCCATAAGAATCATAGTGTACCATGCCCTAATGTGTGACTCAAGTCGATGAAGAATCAATCTTGGAGTGCATTGAAATGCATCTTCAATCCCACTTAACCATAAAGCTTCCTCAAAAAATTTACTCATACTCGATACTACAATGACATTTGTTCAACCATGACATTTCTGGGAACAAGCATGCTGTAGTTGCTGACTGTTATCAGCTTGATAATGGAAAGGTGGCTTGGGATGTGCAATTTCGCAGACAGTTCCATGATTGGAAGCTTACAGATGTTTCAGACTTCCTTGCCTTGATTTACAACCAAGTGGTGGAGGAAGTGGGTATGGATATGATGGTGTGGGAGGGATCCTTGAGAGGGGAGTTTGAGGTTGGATCCTATTATCAAAGTCTTATGGAGATCCCTGGCCCCTCTTTCCCTTGGAGAGTTGTTTGGAAGACAAAAGCGCCTTTGAAGGTGGCTTTTTTTGCATGGTCTGCTGCCCTTGGGAGTATCCTCACTCTCAACAACCTCAGAAGGAGACATCAGGTTATGGTGAACTGGTGTTGCTTGTGTAAGAGATCGGGGGAATCTGTGAATCACCTTTTGCTTCACTGCCCTGTGGTGAGGGATATTTGGGCTATGTTCTTGGTTGCTTTTGGTGTGGCTTGGGTATTTCCTCAGTCAATAGTTGATTTTTTTGAGTCATGGAAAGGGTGTACAGTGGAGAGCCAAGTTAGAGATGCTTGGAGGGCCACCCCCCTTTGTATTTGGTGGGGCTCGAGGCTCGAGAGAAATAGGAGATCCTTTGAAGGGGTGGAGTCTCCTATTTGGTCTCTCAAATATAATATACAGTCTTCTTTATTCTTTTAGGTTAATGGGCGAAATTGCATATCTATAGATAGTCTTTTGGATTTTGTGGAGCTTAAAGATGTAGTGTCACTATTTAGGCGGCTTGTTGTTCTTTGGGAGCGCTCCCCTTTTGAGTGCCTTTAATGAATTTTTACTTATCAAAAAAAATTTGTTCAACCATGGAATCGTCCGTTTATGAAATTTTCCCAACCCAACATTTGGACTTTACACAAGGCTTAAGAGATAGTTCTATGATTTTGTTGATGATATTTGTCGTCTATGTCTTAATGGTATAGATTTCTAGTTTTGGCAGAGCGAGATGAGCAATATTTTGGACGTCTCTTAAGTTTGCCTTCCAGCATGTCTAGAAACATGTAAAAATAATGTAGGACAGTAGCGACCTTCATAGAAATAAACGCCTGTTTAAATTTGAAATGATGTGGTTAAAGAGGAGGGTTTTGAGAAGATGGCCAGAGATTGGAGGCAAGGGTATAGGGCTAAAGGTTTCCCGAGGTTTGTGTTGGCCAGAAAAATGCAAAATGCTCAGAAAAGAGATGGAAGTCAGGCTGGTACGGGCTTTGCAGGAACTTAAATCTTTGGATGAGGAAGTTGGTTCTTAAAATACAAAAGCTAGGAGCATGGTAAAAAAAAAAAATATTATAAAAAAAAAAAAGGTGAAGTGGGTAGATTGATTTCGTTTAGAAGAAATGAGTTGGTAGAAGTCTAGAGCTCTGTGCTTGAAGAGGTAGTTTGGAATACAAAATTCTTTCACAGGGTACTAATGTACATAGAAGGGGAACCAAAAGAATCACATAATTATAGATGGTGAGAAGACGAACGATTGATGGGAGTTTTACGCTGTTCTAGGAATACAAAATTCTTTCACAGGGTGCTAATGTACATAGAAGGGGAACCAAATGAATCGAATAATTATAGATGGTGAGAAGACGAACGATTGATGGGATTTTACACTGGTCATCTAACTTTATGAGAATCTTCATATTGAGCATACCAATAGATGAATTTTGCTTAATATTTTGGAATCTAACACTATTAATGAGGAGGCAAATTAGTTTGTGAGTTCCTTTACAAAGGAAGATCTAGTGGAGGTATTGAGCAAAAGGAGCCTAGCCCAAAGGGCTGAAATATCACTTTTTTTTTTCTTCTAGCAGTGTTGGTTGGTGTTAGAACTAACATTTTGCTTTATTTACATTTAGCGGCTGCTCTCAGGATACAATCCTGTGTTCTCAACTTCTCACACTTGATAACCCGATCATAGAAATCTCTAGTCTTGAAAGGTGCAATAAATATTAAGGATTTTAAGCCAATAAGCTTGGTGGAATTAAGCTCTTGGTTGAAATTCAATCACTGAGGTTGAGAAGGGTGGTTAGTGAAAGTCTTGGAATGCTTTTGTGTGCGGAAGCTAGATTTTGGATGTGGTGGTTTGTTGCAAAAGAGTGTAGACTCGAACTTAGGAATTTGTAGCCATGGGTGGTTTGTAAGGTAGACAATGACAAATTCGGTGATCATGTTCATTGGGGTCTTCTTGCTGTATGTGATGGAGAGGATGATATTTGGGGCAAAATGGAGGCGATGGATTGAGACATGCATTTCCATAATGAAGTGCTTGAATCTATTGAATGGTTCTCATGATAGTAATGTTACAAGATATTAAGAGCAAACTCAAAGTAGAAAACAGAGGTTTGTTACAAGATATAATCCATCTCAAGAACCTAAAGCTTACAAGTAAAATAAAATGGTCATATGCTATTAGTAATACAGAGAGAGATGGGCCAATAAAAAATAAATAAAATAAAAAAGTGTTCAGATATAATAAGATTTTCAAGTGTTACTTCAATAAGTCCAGTGGTATAATATTCATAGAAGGCCATTTATTAGAATGAGAGATGTCTTTACAGACCTAAATATTAACACTTTTCTCAACCCTACTTTTAGTTCGATATCTAGGGCTATTGTTTGGTTCAATGGAAAAATTTAGGACTGTTAAGTGTGAAAATTCACATTCAAGTGTTAGAACGGCCACTTTTGGTGGAATATTTCCAAGTTTATTATTATTATTTCTCTCAATTAAGCCCTTCTAGCACCTGAAGCAGACACACTCTGTAAGGGCTTTTACTTTTAGTTTGTATGCCCACAGAAAATGCATTACCAGTTCAAACTCTAGTTCTTGGAGCCTTGTAAAAAGATTAGGGGTACAAACCTCTAAGTCCAATACAGCCAAGACCCATTAAAGACAGACCATAGTCATAGGCACCAAGAATTTATTGTTTAAAAGGTTAATTTTATGCCTTGTAATATGCTTATTAGATTAGGAACTGAGGTAATTAAAATTTCGATCCAGAAGATTCTTATTACTTATTAGAAGTTGGAGCATATATAAGGACATTCACACTGCTGCAGCATATCCAACTAAAACCATCAATTTATTAAAACTTTTGACTGACCACTGACACTATCAAAATTGTTTCAATTTGTTTTATTATTATTTATGTTGAACCCCACGTAACTAGTACAGGTAATAATGCTTTTATTATTATGTTGCAGATAAGTATCGAAAAGTTCAAAAACTTTTTGTATTTTATCTTCTCATAGTTCATCCTGCGTGTATTACAAGAGTTGCAACATAAATCAATTAAGTCTTTAATACATCTGAAAAGCAATATTAGACCTCGTTCATCATCATCATCATCATCAACATAGTCATCGTCCTAGCCTTAATCCCATATGAATGGGGTAGGTGACAAGAATTCTCTCTCCAACCTTTACTGTTACATGCCATTTCACCTACTATATTTAACTTTTTAAAGTTATTTTTGATAACCTCATCCCATATTATTTTGGGTTAAGTGCAGAAAACCCCCATGTAGTATAGGTTTTGTGCACAATGCCCCCCTCCTTTTCAAACGTGAGCATTGTCAGTCCCTATTTTTTTAAAAAAGGTGCATGCCAGTCCCTGTTTTTCAAAAAAAAAAGGTGCAAATAACCCCCTCTGACCACTTTTTGGCAAAAAGTAAATATGAAAACTCGATTTTGCCCTTTTTTCTTCCCATTTTGCCCCTCTCACATAATATGTAATAAAACCCCCCTCCCAACCCATTTCCTTTATTTATCTATTCATTTTTCGCCTGAAACCAACAAAACAACTAAGCAACATAAGACGGTCAACACGATCAGCATTCTTAATTTTAATTTTAATTTGTTGTGTGTGAAGAAGGTAGACAGCAAGGTTAAATAATAATAAAAATCTTCTTAATAAATGTTGACTTACAAGAGATTATATATCAAAGTCAAGCTTTCACTAATGAATAAGAATTACAATGACAAAAATTTGACGGTTAAAATTAACTGGGAAACAATCATCATCTATCAAATCTACCAAACAAAATGTAAATCAATGTATTATTCAAATCTACCAAACAAAAGGTAAATATAAATTTTACAAAATTAATAAATAACAATAGGAGAATTTTTTTTTTTTTTTTTCCTTTAGTTAGTACTCACACCCATGCCTCCACTGAGGCTTGAACCCCTGACCTCCCTATGAGAAGTAGGGGCTTGGTACCGCTGGGCCACTAGCCGGATGATGAGAAAATTTATTATTAAATATACCAATACATGTGAAAAGAGAAAATAAAATATATATATATATATATAAAATTACTGGTACCATAAAATTATTAACCATGAGTATAACATATTTTAAAATTTGGGCCGGGTTATAACATATGTGATAATAAACAAATATTTTTCTTTGAAATTCATTAAGATAAATATAAATTTTGGTGTAATGGTAATAGACAGTGGATGTACACCCACAAAAGCTTCTGTATAGTTGTTACTTTCCAGAATTGGTTAAATATTATTGTTGGAGTACATTAAACAAAAGGCAGCTTTGGAGCAATGGTGAAAGATGGTTGATTGGAGAACAGTTTCGGTTCCATGCATTACAATACAGTGAGCTAGCAACCTCCTATGATAATTGGACAAAACGGTCATTTTACATGGCATGCATTTTTACCTATTAATTTATTCTATTGACATGAGGGCATTACAATCATTTTAAGACTCAAGGGGGCTATTTGCACCAAATCGATAGTTTAAGGGGGTTTTAAACTACACAGACTTTTTTGCACTATATCGATAGTATAGGGGGATTTTTTGCACTTTACCCTATTATTTTTGGTCACCCTCTCCGTCTCTACCTTCTATAACAACTAGTCTTCCTCGTTTGACTGGCGCATCTCTAGATCTCCAATGTATGTGTCCAAGCAATCTAAGTCTATTCTCTCTAATTTTCTCACAACTGGGTGCTACACCTAATTTTCCTCTCATACTTTCATTAGTGACCTGATAAGTGCTGAAATATGCGTTATTCAACCCTTAATCTTCATTAGTTAGTAACTTAGTTTATCTTTACTTTCCGGTACTAATCGCAATTTGTTTTATTCTTTGCTTTTAGACTTTGCATACTAAACAGGGTTAATTCCGTTACCGCAGAGATTGATAGATGTCAAGCCTTGGAAGAGCAATCAAAAGAAGTTCAAAGTCAAAGTCAAGGGAAATCCGATCACTCAGACTGTGTTCGGACTCCGCTCGTTCAGACTTCTGACCCGCGCAATCGGATTGAAGTCTGGTGCAAAAATCATGTTTTAAGCCTTGATTCAAGGGGGCTCGGGGTGCAATCCATCAGGTGTCCTTGTGCATATATTTTGGCCATTTTCGGATCCTAAGAGTCACATATAAAGGTGGAAGGCTGTTTGGAGGACTTCAACTCCAATAAAGGTGGCTTTTTTCACGTGGACAGTGGCGCTTGGCAGCATTCTTACTTTGGATAATCGCAAAAAAAGACGCCAAATAATAGTTAATTGGTGTTGCATGTGTAAGAAGGCGGGCGAATCGGTTAATCATCTCTTGTTGCATTGTAGAGTGGCAGCGGATGTTTGGAGTCTGATGCTGAATGTTTTTGGGGTGGAATGGGTAGTGTCAAGTAAAACGATGGATATGTTAGAAGCTTGGAGAGAGAGTAGAGTGGAAAGTCGGGTTAGGAAGGCGGGGAGGGTTGCACCTCTTTGTATTTGGTAAGGGTTGTGGCATGAGAGGAATAAAAGATCTTTCAAAGGACAAGAATCACCGGTGTAGGTTATCAAGGCAAATATTTTGCATTCTCTTTATTCTTGGGTTAATGGGAAAAATTGCCCATCTATAGATAGTTTTTTTGGATTTTGTTGACAACTAATCGTTTTATTAACGCGTTTGCGTTTTTGTTTTATTTGTTTTGTTAAGGGTTTGCTCCCCTCTGAGCACGTTTGTTAATATATCTTTACTTATATAAAAAAAATAAAAATAAAAAGAGTCACTTATAAATAAAAGATGAACCCAATTTGCAAAGGGAGGTTGGACGATTAGAAGTTTGGATAGAAAATTTGGACACTCTCTCTCTACATTCTCTCTCTAGGGTTTCCACCAAGGAAGAAGAAGAACAAGATGAACCCAAGCTTGGAGATGGATTGTGAGACCACCATGATGACATCTACCTTCTCCATGAGTGGCTAGTTCTTCACTTAGGGCTTGGATAAGCCCTAAGTTTGTGTAATTAAACCTTGTTGGAGAATATTATTATAGGAACCTTAAATTACTCCACATAATATTGCACTGAGAATATTGTGGGAGTGATTTCAGTCTATGATAAAATATGATTGGAGTGATTTATGGGATTGATTTTATGAATCCTCCATTAATGTATTTTCCATATTTATCGCTTTGTTCTTTCTCCGATAAATAGAGGTGCTCATTGTAAACAATCTTAAAAGAGAATATCGTAAAGATGATGTAGCCCTTTGGGCTTTGTGCGTGTATCCTTGTGTGCTTCATTTTCCATTTCTCTCTTCAATTTTGACATGGTATCAGAGCAAGTTTATCATACCATACTCTATACTCAACTCGTCTCCGATCTACGGATCAACTCGTCTCCGATCTACGGATCAATTCGTCTCGGATCTTCGGATCAACTTGTCTCGGATCTTTGCAACTCATTTCAGACTCTCAACAATTTCATACTTAGTTTCAAGTTAGACACTTGAGTTAAAATCTCCATGTACCAACTTGAGGGAGGGTGTTGGAGAATATTATTATAGGAACCTTAAATTACTCCACAGAATATTGCTCTGAAAATATTGTGGGAGTGATTTTAGTCTATGATAAAATATGATTGCGGTGATTTATGGGATTGATTTTATGAATCCTCCATTAATGTATTTTCCATATTTTTCACTTCGTTCTTTCTCCTATAAATAGAGGTGCTCATTGTAAACAATCTTAAGAGAATAAAATAAAGATGATGTAGCCCTTTGGGCTTTGTGCGTGTATCCTTGTGTGCTTCATTTTCTATTTCTCTCTTCAATTTTGACAAACCTCTTGTCTTTTAATTTTGGGGATTATTAATTGTAATTAAGTGCTTGGTCTTGTGAATTCAAACTTGGTTGTACCAAGGTTTATATTGTTAATTCTTCCAATTGATTCTCTATTTTGATTCCATGTTGTCTCATGTGTGATTAATTGAGGGTTGATCTCTACATTGAGTACTCTTTGTAATTGTGTTTAGTGATGGCCATGCATGGTTTTTATTGGATACAATTGCTCTTAGTTTGATGGATTATGCTTAGTCTTGATGGGTTGTTCTACACCTTAGAGTAATTGTAGTTAGGTAGACAATTCATGCTTGAGTTTGATAGTTCATACTTATTCATTGCAATTTGTATTATCTTCTTGAACATTGATGTGTGCTTATAGCCACATTCCTATTACAATTTGTTTTCCCCATTAATTGAAGGCATTTGTTATAACAGCATGAGCTTAGTGGTGTAATCCATGCCCTAAGCCTCCCTCCTTATTACCTTAATCCAAGTTTACTTTAGCTTTATTTCATTTGCATGATTTACATAGTAAAATCATCATTAGTTTAATCAAACCAATCACTATCTTTTCAATCTCACGCTCATTGATGTTAAGTTAAATTCCAAGCCAATAATCCCAGTGGACAATCCCTTCTCACTATACTAATGTATACTTGTTTATTGGTTTTATAAATATAAAAGTTGATGTCCCATTTGCCACATATAAACATCTTTTTTGATACACCTCGGGGTAGCACCATGACCCTATCTCTTCTAGTCACTCCACTCATCCATCTTGACATTCTCATTTCCACTGCATGAAGGCGTTATTCACATATCTTTTTTATGGCCCAACACTCTGCTCCATAAAATATAGTTGGTCTAATAATGGTACTATAGAATTTTCGTTTTCGCCTACGTGTTAGACCTCTTTCTTCATTATAATAAAAGCTCAGATATCCTTTCACAATATTAGACTTTTTTCTTAAATGGATGCTTCAACATAAAGTACCCAAAAAAGAGAAAAGGATTAATGAAGGATTTTTTTTTACAAAATAAACAAACTAGGGATTTGCTACCAAGAAATCATACCAAAACACTTTCTCAACCTAATTTAAGGAACTTCTCTCTCCAGCAATTAAAGAAATTAACTAGCCCACTAAAACAGAAAAAACCATGAAAGAGATACAATGACAAGTGGGAAGTGATTCAAGACTAAAGAACAATATCCAAAATACTCTGCAATTCAGTTAGGATCTTACATGCAGAATTCTGATACAGAAAATGTGAAAATGCCTAGAAAAAAAGTAAGAAATGAAGTACTATCAATAGGTATTGTACCTTGACAAATGGAGAATCTACAAGAAGATGCGAAAAGACAGTTGGAGAGGACTTCAATGATCCACCATACATTTCCTTTGACGCCCAGCTGGCTATTGCATCATTCATCCGGTATTGCATTGTTAACTTGGTGGCAAGAACCCCTTCATGCAAAGCTGCTGCTCTTTCTAGAAGAGATGTTCCGAGACCACCTTCTGAGGCTTTTCTAGATAAAATTACTGGAGCAAGTTGGCATTGGTCACCTGCAAGAATACAGCGCTTTCCCTGCAATATTGGAATCCAGCAAGAAGGTTCGATGGCTTGTCCTGCCTCATCTATAACAACCAGATCAAAGTTTTCCAGCCGTCGGATTAGTGGATCAGCTGCTCCAGTGTTGGTGGCAAGCACAACTTGGGAACTTGATAATATTTCCTTCACAGTCTCCTTCTCCTTCTTCTTCAATGATTTTCCAAGCTGTTTTAGAAGCTGACGTATTCCAGCGGCTAGAGAATCATCCTTTAAACAATGTCTCAGGTCCTTTCTTAGATCTGACTTTTTCCTCTCAAACTCAACTCGAAAATTAGCAAGCCTAGTGTTCACAATTTCAACTAAGGATTTTGAAGCTACTGCAGGCAATATTCGTGCTGGATTGCCAACCCGCACAATGTCTACGCCAGTATTAGAAAGCTTTTCAACCATGTTGTCCACAGCAGCATTTGTAGGTGCTGTTACAAGGACCCTTTCTCCTTGTTTAGCAGCAAGTAAGATCAATTCCTTAAGCAAACCTGATTTTCCAGTACCAGGAGGGCCTTGTATAATCAATATGGGCCGCTTCTTGTTCAAACCTAATGCAATTGCTCCTCTCTGCGAATCATCATAAGTGTTGGTGTCTAACAAGCCATTCAATTCTGCTTCAGCCCAATCAACCAAATGATTCTCTTCCAGCCACACAACATCTTCTTTGTCTCCAAAAAGTGTAGCCGCAACAGTAATTGAAGGATTTTTCTTCCGTAAGCCTTTCTTCTGAAGCATCATCAGGGCTTCACAATTTCGCTGCAAGAGAAAATAACAAGTAGATATTGAAAGAGATTTAAAGCCACTTCAGTATCAAGGACTGGAAAATATTCAAAAACACTTCAATATCAAGGTCAAGTAACTTTCTAATAAATGTATAGCATTTCAACAAAAATGATAATGCCGACATCATCGTCATCATCATCCTCGCATTTTTCCCAAATGATTGGGGTCAACCACATGGATTCTCTTTTCCCATTCTATTCTATAATACATGTCTCCTCTAATAAAAATAAATAAAATAAATAATTGTGGGAAATGTTTCTCCTAACCTAAGAAGCACGGACACGGATACGGGACACAGATACGACACGACACCGACACGGTGACACGGCAAATCCAAAAAAATTAGGACACGGACACGGACACGGTGAATAGTATATATATATATATATGATGTAGTACTTTAAAAATTACTAAATGTTACTATTTTTCATCAACCTCACAATGAAAAAAAACAAAAATCATAACTCATAACTAATAAACTATAAAAGAACAATGTTGAAGAGTTATAAAACCAAATAAAAAACAAGACATTAGAATAATAACTAGTATCATTTCATCATCATTACAACTTTACTCCAAATACAAAAGCATAGACAAAAAGGACTATTAACATTCATGACTGTTTAACATTCAAGACTTTACTGTTAGCACTTAACATTCACAAAAACCTAAAGGCTAGTCCCCAAAAAAGATACAAAAACCAAGTCAGTGTACTATAATCTATTTCCATCCATCATTTGACCTAGGACTTTTACCATTTACAATACCAAAAGAGTAGTACAAAACAAAAAAAAAAAGAACACATCAGCATTCAAAAAAAAAAAAAAAAAAATTTCCAGAAGTGTCCGTGTCCGTGTCCATGTCCGCGGAGTGTCCGTGCCGTGTCCGAGCCGTGTCCGAAAATTTAAAAAAAATAAAAAATTGCAGACACCTTTTTTGACTTGTCCAACACGTGTCAGGGTGTGTCCAACACGTGTCGGACACGGATTCTTCGCCCATTTTGAAGTGTCCGTGATTCCTAGCTCCTAGCATATTGAAGGTTTTATATATATATATATATATATATAATAAATCCTCTTAAATAAACTGGGATGCCATGAAAATGTTAACCAAAACTTTGCAAGCAGTGTGAAGGAATAATACGACACTCAACTCAGAATACTACAATGAACAAAAATCTAAAATAGGAAAAATAATTGGCAAAGCTGATTGACCAGAATATTATGGTATTCTTCATGAGTTTATCTAACAAAAATGAGTTTTTATTAGACATATTTTCCATCTTTCTTTTTGGTAATAATTTGACAATCTTAATCCAATTAATTGTCGGAAAAAAAAAATAAAAAATAAAATCATAACTCATAAGCACAATTTTTGCTATATGCTAAATGTTACGACAAACACAGCAAACCCAAGCAACAATAAGTAAACACGACAAAAGAGTAAACACAGAACACACAAAGAACACAAAGATTTAGCGTGGTTCGGCAAAGACTACATCCACGGTGGAGATCTGGTGAAAGTTTTCACTATGCGAAAAATAGGAGATTACAAGTTTCAACCCCTCATAGCCTCACTCTCTTTCTCTACAATTTTCAGTATCTCTCCAATCTCGCACTCCTAACCCTAAATGCCCTTATATATCAGGCTATAAGAGAGTACTAATTAGGGTCCATGACCCACAAGCAAAAAATGGGTCAATCCAACGCATTGTATGCGACCCGGCCCCAAATTCGGGCCACAACATCACACTAAACTTTCAAAATATTACAATATCTACAAATTAAAATTAAATCACTAACAGAAATTTAAACCAATATACCAAGGGCCTTGTGGCCTAGTGGTATCTCCTCTATCACTCAAAGTGGATGGTGAGGGTTCGAGTCTCCAAAGAAGCAAAGTGGGTGTGTGAGTGGTGTATGTGTGTTTCTTGCGAATGAAAAAAATAAACAAATAAACCAATATAACCTCGGAAAAAATAAAAACCAATAAAAGATTTACGCATTCACAGAAATCACTTTAGAAAAGCACAAATTAAGAATAAAATGCTTCATCACTTACCAGAACAAATAAAACAGCATCCAGGTGTTGCATCACCAAAGACCGTATAATACTAATATAATACTAAAAACTTATCTCTAATCCCTTATGCTTAATAATTATGTAACCTGGGACTATAGGCTTGTGCAACCAGCTTCCATCCTGTAACATGAATTGTTCTTTCTATGCATTAGTTGAATTTATCATGACCTTGTTTGTGGTACAAGAATCGCATGGCACAACAAAGTATAAACCCAACTGTAGCATATGATTCGTGGGAATCAAGATCCCAAACAAACAAGTTGGTTGTTGATTCTGGTAACCCAAAGAAAACCCAAGGATCTTGTGGAAATGATAAACAAGGAAATTAAGAAAAACAATGAGGAACTGTTACAACAAACGCAGCGAACCCAAGCAACAATTAAGAAACGCGTCTGAAAATTAATCACGCCACACAAAGAACACAGATTTATAAGTGGTTCGGCAAAACATACGTCCATGTGGAGATCCGGCAAAAGTCTTCACTATGTGTAAAATCGGAGATTACGAGTTTCAGCCCGTCACTCTCTTTCTATACGATTTTCAGTCTCACTCTACCCACTCCAAAACCCTAAACGCCCTTATATATCGGGCTACAAGAAAGTACTAATTAGGCTCCACGACCCACAACCAAAAACGGGTCAAAAAAATTTCCACAACAAAGCCCATCCAATGGATCGACAGGTTGAAAATGGGTCGTAACGCGACCTGGCACCAAATTCAGGCCAAAACATCATAAGAACCAACCACAACAAAACGCATACAGATTCATGTGGCCTGGCACTTAACCTACATCCACAAGCAATATGGGAAAGGACCATACCTTTTCCACAACTAGGCAAAACTCAGTGATACCCAATTTCAGGAGTCAACCCTCAACCAAATCCTAACCTCTTTGCTTTACTATGACCCTACCCACAATACCTTGGTCATATTTCTAAAGTTTTTCTTCATTATTTTTTATTTTTTTTTTTTTTAATAACTAAGATTGTATTAGAAAGTGTTCAAACAGGGAACGCATCCCAAAAACAACTACACAAGGCCAAAAAAAGCCACTAAACTCTCAAAGAATTCAAAAAAATCAACTATCTCCCCCATGGATTTACAATTTCTCCCCAAAACCCAACAAAAAAGAGTACAAAGAATAAAAAACTTTAGTGCTCCAATAGGAGTCTTCTTGCCATCAAAGGATCTCCTATTCCTTTCTGTCCATAAGCACACCACCAATCACACAATGGCGTTACCCTCCAAAAATCACAAGTCATGGGCTTGAGCATCCACTATACAACCTCTCCAAGCCTCAATCAAGATCCTCAATCAAACCCGTTGAGGACCTAGGCATGACCCAATGGACCCCAAACAAGCTCAACAAAAGACCCCAACTGTCTTAGGCCACAGGACATTGCAACAAAAGATGATCAACCGTTTCCTCTGTAAAGGAGAGAAAACAAAGCCACAAAAGATTTTCGGATGTGGAAGTGATATGTTCCTTTTGGTTCTCATTACAATTTATAATACAAGATTTGCCAAACAAAGTGGCTACAATCAAGGAGTAGTAATTACAGCAGCTATCTAAAAGGTAAGTCAACTAATCTAATCCCATAATTACAGCAACTTTATTTAGGGTAAGTTAATGCTAGCTAATATAATCCCTAATTGTAAGACATAATTATTATCACTATTTACATCCTTATCTCTCTTGCACATACAATAACAATTAACAATAATTTGTTTCCTCCTTCTTAGGTTTTCCAAAGTAAGAATCTTACCCTCAAACAACCATCTAGGCAAAAAAGGCCACCTTGAGAGGGGTAATCAGTCTCCTAATATACATCATTAATTCAAGACACAAGAACGCTCATAAGCCCTAGGTAAGTTTGACTACTTAGAAAGATGCAGGTGAAGGGAGATACATGGATTGGCGGCATTAAGGGGAAGGGGGAGCCAAAGATCAACTTCCGAAACCCTTGTAGAGTAATTTCTTGTTATTTATTCTCTCTACCTTTTCTTCTATTTTTCCTTTTCTTTTCTCAATCACAAACCCTAATTTTCCATATTTCAGAGCAAAAGTTATTTTCCATTTTTCTTCCCTCTTCATTTTCTTCTTCCTTGTCTCTCCCCTTCGTTGTCTATGATGACTTTAGTTCTTTGTTACAGAATCCAAATTTTTCTCTCTTTTTTTTTACCTAGTTTTGAATCAATTTGCTTGATTTTTGTTTGTGCAAATTCCAAAAGGAAATATTTTATAATCGGATCGGATTTATCGGATCGGACATCCGATAGAGGGAATATCGGATATGGATCAATCATGTAAGAATCCGTCGGATTATCGGATCGGATCGGATCACTGATTGTGCTTATCGAATTCAGATCGTATAGACTATGATCCAGTCCAAATCCGATCCGTTGACGGGTCTAGGCTCCAGGTTGATACCTAAACCTCCCATCTGTATTGGTCTACAAACTTGCTCCCAGCAACTAAACTCCTCCTCCAAACCAACCAAGAGGAAATTCCATTAAAGCTACTCAATCCGCTTAGCCACATAAGAGGGGATCTAGAGCAATATCATGATGCCACTTGCCACCAACAATGATTCGAAAGTTATAAGATTTCTCAATAAGTTGGTAAATGACAAAAATAAAATAGTGGTCAGATTTATTAGATCTTCATTATAGCCTAATATTTAGGCTTTTGTTTAGGGATTTGATTTTTATTCAAATTTGATTTTTATTCTCTTTCCATATTTGTAATTTTCCTCTTGTATATAATGATAATCAGGCTCTCAGATTGAGTACGCCAATTTTACCAAATTACTTTTTGGCATCATAGCCACCAATCATATAATTCAATTTGGTATCAGAGCCACCGCCAAAGATGGCGGCATAAGCCTCAT